TAGATGCAGGCTGGAGGCAAAGCGTCAGAGGTGAGTTATGTCCAGCAGGAAATCTCAGCAATCATTACTCTGCTGTTGATGTCTGAAGGCCTCCCAACAAGACAGGAAGAACTGGATTAAAGAAATCACAAGGTAGCCAACACTTGGGTGGCCACTGAATGACTGCTGAAGTGACTTTTGAAAACGAATAGTTCTACAACAGAATCACTGGACAAAGTAAATTTTTACAAGTTATTAGTGTTAGAAGTTGAGGCATGAAGTTAAGTACAGTGGAGGTTATGTAGGAACTTCAGAAACATTTTGACCCCACTCTCCTTTTGGAGAAAAGGAAAATACCCCAAATATATTCACACTTACCCAAATTGCCAGCTGAGTGAATAAAAAAGAAGGTTCTAGAATCCCATCTTTAGGTGGCTGAATTGGTGACCTTCCCATCATACCATATCTCTAGAAGTTAGTGACATATGTACATATTCTCAAAACAAACAAAAAAGCAGAGAAATTGATAAATTCAGACACTTATTTCTGATTTAATTATCTAGCAGACCTGAAGATAATTCCCATAAACTTCAATGTCGGTGACATTTTCCAGGAAGAAATGACCTGTTTTCATCCTGGTGTGTCACATACCAGGGTAGAATGCAGCTTTGGGGAAGAAAGGTTTGTTTCAATTTACAGATCACAGTCCCACAGTGAGGGTAGTCAAGGCAAGAACTCAAGCAGGAACTTGGAGGCCAGCCTGCCTGCCATCCACACAGCCTTACCTCTGACCCAGAAACTCACTTCATAGGCGGAGACATGTGATGGGTCTGGGGTTGCTCAGAGATTCACTATGACCCTGAGTAAATTTTAATAAATAAGTGGCTTTATTAGATCCCGTCCAGGACCATACCCAGGACTGAAGATTATGTGCTGAATTACATTAGTCAGGGGCTTATCAAGGCAAAACTCACCAGGCTACATACTTCCTGCTTACATGTGATCAAGCACATATCCTGTGCAGCTGGGGCAACCAAGTTTGTTTACAGACACGAAAACACATGGTTTGTCATCATTCATGAACAGCAGCCCCCAGCATTCCAGGAAGTTATCTGTCTGTGGGCAAGTGAAGCCTACAGGTTAGAGGCATTTTTGTAATTTTAACTTCAAACATAACGTTAGCCATCACAAAGGTACAGCGGGAACCATAGCGGAATGCCGCCTGAGAGCTCATTCTCAGCTGTCTCCCTGTACAGCCCAGGACCGCTTGCCCGAAGAACGTACTGCCCATAGTGGGCCGAGCCCTCGGGTATCAGTTAACAACCCAGGCACTCTCCACAGACGTTTCACAGGCCAGTTTGATGATAGGGAATTGCTCAACTCAAGTTCTCAGGAGAGTTCTAGATTGTGTCAAGTTGACAGCTAAAGTGATCTAGAACAGAAAACTAAATTTTAGTGTGAGTTGTCTCTTCTTTGGGTAGACTAGAAAGAACATTCTTTTAATTTTTATTTTCATTGAACATTTTATTAGCAACATTGACTGTATCAAACAGACATTCTTGAGAATGGTGGACTCTCTCTCTCTTCCTGTCCCAACAGAAGTGTAACAGGAAACAGACACAGAACAGAGAGGTACTGTTAGCATGTGACCAGCACAGCCTGTGGGGTTAATAATGCCTGCACCAGGTGAGGGGCGCAAGGTGCCCTTGGCTGCATAAAAAGAACATTTAATATGAATCTAGAATTTGTATTTACGTAAGGCTACTTTTCTCAGTGGCATGAGCTGTGGTCAATAATCTATTTTGGGGGATGTGTTTTGTTTTTGAAACAGACCTTACTACAGTTCTCAGACTGACTTCAGGATCTTGTTTCAGTCTCCCAAGTACTGGGGTTAAGGGTTTGATCTACAGTGCTACAACAATCTATCTTAAGAGAGGAAGAAATCTTTTCTTTTTCAGGCTATTATAAAGCTAATATTCTTGCTTAGATAAATGTTGTAATAGGATTGACAAAGAAGGTGGCAGAAATAAGGCTAGCTGAGTATTGACGAAGGTGCTTGTCTGCAGTACCAGTGTCCAGAACTGCATGATTCAGACCTAATCTTAAGTTTTGTAGGGAATTCCCCCGTATTTGGGGTTGTTTGACAGAACAGAAAGGTTAGAGGAAACCTTTTTAGCTGTTCTCTGAGCATGGATTTGTATACATAAGGCATGATCGAAGGGACTAAGGAGTCCCTCAAAACGTGTATAGAGGGCCAAGTAGTGGTAGCCTGGGCAAGACGTCAGACCTTAGAACCGGCATGGCAGAAGTTGCAGTGAAGTGTGAGGAAAAGGGAACTGTTTGGTCTGCTGGCCGCATCCCAGTCTCTTACAGTGAAATGGTTAAAACTGTCATCCATGGCTCACGGGCCTTCTAGGTCTAATCTTAGGACAGCGTGTGCCTGACCTTTCTCCAGTGCCTCTTTTCCACTCCTTCAGCAGCATGGCTGAGTCTTTCCTTGCCTCTTTTCCTCTTCAAATGGTATGACCACATGTAATATGTATCATGAAGCAGACCGAAGGAAATGTAATGTTTGTCACCAGGTCTGTCAGTTAACAAGTGTGTAAGTGCTGCGGGTTGTTTGCTGCATCTGTACAGTCCTCACTATCTTACCCACGTCCCTGGAGTAAGATAATACAACTGAGGTAGGCGGTCCAAAGAATAATTCATGTCAGAGGCACAGGACAGACCTTCTCTTCACAAGGACACACGTGTCATCAGGAGACTGTATGCCTTAGAAGTGTCTTTTCCTTGATGTGTCTCAGTGTCCTGGCTCTTTCTAGGATGCCCCTCCCCCCAGAAGAGTAGGCTTGCTTCTTTCTGACTGCTCAGTAAGAACTCTGGTCTTTTAACAGTCGCTCACACTAGAAGGAGAGCGCTGATCGGACTTGTGTTTCATCTGGCTACTGCTGCGTACTTCTGTCTGTAAGGACGGGGCTCCACAGGCAGCTCAAGATGCATGGCCAAAGGGAAGAGCTCTGAGAATCTCGTGCCTCCTGCTGCCAGAGCAGTAGTGCCCAGCAGTGCGTGCACACACATGGCATGTGTGCTTTTCCCAGCACTGAAGCATGTGAAGTGAAAAGAGCCCCATTTTGACTATAAGATCTACTCTAACTGCTAGTATTACTAAAACATTTCAAAAGTGCAAAGTCTTCTTTCTAGTTACTACTCTTTAGTTTCTAAAATAATCTCTGTTTTGTATCCAGGACTATGCTTACAACAGACAGGCTCTTGTGGAACCTTGGACATGGGACTTGATTTTTGTTTGCTTTGGAAATTTGCCCTAGTTTGGAGAGAATAGAAAGATCTGGCACCTTCTACTTCATTTTATAGGGTCAAATACCATTGAATATCACTGTGGGTTTTGGCTTGTTAAATACATTGGTAACAGCAGGGCTTTGCTAATTCTAATGCTCCTTTAAAGAGGAAAGCTGGGTTCAGCGTTTATGCTGCCCCCATAGTTCTTTTATTAACACATTAAATGAGAACCAAGAGCTGTTCTAAAAACTCATCAGACTTCCTGAATATTTTTAAGTCACAAGAGTGTAATCCAGCCCAACCTCAGAGTCACTGCTGTCGCCTTCCTTGGCCCTCGTCCGTGACTATCTGCTCGGGTGGCCCTGTAGAAAGCCACCTGCCCTCGTGTTATGACAACTTGAAAATAGTTTTGATTTATATTTTTTATTTTTTTTTATCACACCTAAGCAGACCCACTTGGAAGTGTAGGGGGTGGGTGGTGTTGGGTGTGGTGACTCACAACTATAATCTCTGTACTTGGGAAACTTAGACTGGAGGATTACTCTAAAGTTGGGTTACAGAGACAGGGAGAGAGGGAGAGATTTTTAAAGATAAAGTCTAAGACTGAAATTAAAAGCTCTACCTAAATATCACTCTCCCAAGAGCCAGTATGTGCACATGTGTCTATATGGGTTGCTGAGACTAAGAACACGGAAGTAGGTGGTAGCCACTTAAGCAGCACATAGCAGCTGTGTGTACGGGGCAGCGTCTGCTCCAAGGACACAGGGTAACCGTTGTGTCAGGTGCTCTCCAGATGTGAAGAGAGGAAGCCACTGTGCAATTTCTCAGCCCTGTAGACACACACATCTCACAGACACAAAGGTGTGCAGAGATGCGTAGAAACGGCACACAGTCTGCCTCTTGGATGAGCGTGATGTGTCTGCAAGAGAGACTACAGTGGGCAGATGCTTCTGGGGGGTTTCATTCAGGCTTGTCAGTGACCCCATCCATCCATGCCCCGCCTGTTCTGGCTCCAGGTCACACTGGTTTGTGGGACACATCTAGTTGAAGTGTTTTGGGAGTGGGTTTCTGTTCTTTTTATCAGAAACACAGTCTATTTTCTACCAAAACTTCTGAGCTAGCTCAGCAGGAGAGCTGTGCTTGGGACTAATGTGTGTTCTTTTCATTACCTCCTCCCAGTGTCAGTAGCCTATTTTAGGCCACATCAAACGAAATCCTACTTCAAAATCTTCAATGTCTGCTGGACTCTGAGTAACACTGAAAAAGTGTGGTCACCAACTGGCCATGTCTGTAGCGTTAAGGGAGGTCTCCTTCACTCTTGAACTTTATACAGCTATGTAGTCCCAGTGTAGTCCTCAGTGTGACATGGGCCCTAGAATGCCCTTCTCAGTGTCATTATGCCCCTAAAGGAAAAAAAAAAAACTATACCCTGATGTAACTCAACTCCCATCTAAACTCCTTTCCTCCATGGGTTAGAACATGTCCTAGTCATAACTGAAACTTTAGTTCCCTCCCTCCCTCCCCTCCCCCCTTCTCTCTTTCTTGTTAGATTGGGAAGACTATCCTGGTCAAGGAGATGACCCAATATTAAAAATAAACGTCTCCTATATTCCAGTGGCTTTGCAGACCACTGTCCTGATGCATGGCACACCAGATTTATTGCTGTGTGTGGACCTTTGCAATGTTTTTCTTGTTTCTGACTTTCTTTTTTTCTTTTCTTTCAGGACCAGGAAGAAAACAAGGGAGCAACAAGTTGGCCTGAGTTCTACATTGATCAGCTCAATTCCATGGCTGCTGTAAGTGTAATTCACATCCTGTGACAGTTAAAAGCTAGTACAGAGTACACAGTTGCACAATGAGTTTGATTGAGTAAGACCTTCTGAATGCTGTTACCTTTCCAAACTCCATTCCCAACACTCCATGTTTGAGGTGTTGGGGACAACGGGGCTGAAATGTTGCTTAGCAAAGTGATTCTTCTAATATGTTTTAAATAGAATCTACACATACTAAAATATGATTGATTTTAATGTTACAAGATGAAATAGCATTTGAAACATGGTTTGTATTCAACTTGAACTTGCTATTGCTGTGACTAAGTGTCCAGAGCTTTGCAACCCTGTGATGGAAGGGAGACTCATCTAAAAGTCGTGTGACTGGACTGTCCCCACGTTATGCCCTTGCCAATCTCTTTCTCTCTGGGAACTTGCCTTCTCCCTGAAACGATGCTCCTTTCCCATAGAAGTATATAAGGCGTCACAGTGATTTGATGAAGTAGTGTAGTAGTCACGTGTTTTAGAGAAAGCTTTGGTCCATGATTTTGGGGTTCAGCTATCAGTTCAAATACATTCCCAGTGTCTGAATTCTGGTCTCTGAGATGTTAGCATCCCAGGCAGCTTGAAGATCACCTATTAATCATAGCTAAAATTCACAACAGAAGATAAACCACCTGCCTTTGAGCCTCACCAGATTTAATCACATTGCTGTTGATGAAATTTGAAGGCTGACCAGTTTGCCTCCGTAGGCACACCCATGATTTTAAGAATTGTTTGTATCTAACTTTAAGTTTATAATATCAAATAGAAGATAGCCCCCAGAATACTCCACCTCTTTCCTGCCTTGCCTTGCAGAGAATTCTCTTCTTACTACTCCAAGCAAGCCCTTTAATATGCTTCCCCTGCAAACATTAGAAACCAACCGAAATCCATGCATTGCCTGCTCTTCTTTAAGCCCTGAAGGTTCTTCACTTTCATCCTCTTCCTCTTCTTCCCCATTTCTTTCTTATTCACTGTTCTGCCTTGAATAATAAACAGCCCAGTAGATGTGCCCAGGGCTGTATAAATTATAGAAGAATTCACATTAGCTTTTGCCTCGCAGCAAAACATATAAGAAAAGAAAATAACTACCAAACCCCCTTCCATACACTGTATACTGCACCAGAGATGAGGAAATGGTGAGCTCAGCCTTTTTGTGTGGATATGCCAGCAAAACGGCTGATTTCTGATGACCACCAGGGTTTTTTCTGTGCATCTACCCAAGCAATAATAACTTGGAGCCATTTATTATTTCTTGCATGCAGAGGTTGTTTATGAGTTCTTGTTCCTGACTACTGGGAAAAAGGAAGTATCAGGCATGCTGTCTCTGGGTATAATTAAGTTGGCATTGTTTGATGTATAACAAGAGATATACTTGGTTAATGAATTCCCTGCCCTGAATGAAGAAGTACTCTGTATTGTGGGTTTTCTTTACTTAGATGTTGGAAAGTTTTATTAATTTGTCCTTTAGTGACCTTTTTTCTGCCACATCTAGGCTTATCCTTGAGGTATAGGGTCCTTGATAATCCAGGGTGTGGCCCTTCTTCAAACTCCCTTCTTCCTCCTGTCCCCTGAATAGCTCTTTGCAGCATTGTTGAGTGGTCTACACTTTAACTCTTTGGTTTCTAGCCCAAAGTCTTCCCCAGGACATCACAAGGCCATTACATTTGTGACTTTGCTGCCCTTTCTGTATCAGACGCCTAACAAAGTCTTAAAATATTTCTTCCTTTAGGCCTGAGCCATTGTCTTTCTAGAGTCAAAGAAGAAGGGTCTCAACTGTCCGTGTGTTAGCCAGGTCTCAAAACTTTGGCATCCTTAAAGAAGCAAGGAGCCCAGTAACAGCATAAGCTGTGCTGAGCACTGTGTCTCTCTCCATCCTGGTTGCTGCTAGTCCTTGAATAGTTCTGGTTGACATCTGTGCTAGAGACTTCCCCACAGAACACAGCAGACACCCTGAGACATTGTCCCCAGGGACGGGGCTGGTACAGAGTTCCTCCAGACCTCCACTGTCCCAGGAGCAGGATTCTGGCTGGCTGTTTAGGCAGATATCTGTTGAAGGGGCATTGGTCCACATTGTCATCAGCAGCATCAGTGGCAGCTGCTACTAGTAAATGTGCCTCATGTGACAGGCAGTACATTCAAATCCTGACAGTCACGATGTAGTACCTCTGCTATTCATAGACGCAGTCTGTCTGGAGGGAAGTTACCTTGCCCAAGGTCATCAAATTGAGAAGTGGTCATCTAATTAGGAATTTAAACCATGTGGCTGAGCCCAAAGATATCTTGCAAATATCCTTTCACTCTTGCTTTTGAAATCTCACATGTGGTACATGAAAGAGGCCCAGGGATTGGACACTGTCTACAGTGTGGGCTGTTTGGGGGGGGAGGGAAGGTTTCTGCTGTCTTTAATGCCTCTAGAGTCTGATGAAATAGTCCAGGTTGAGAACAGCCATACTTGCTATGAAACCAGCATTTTGTGGAACAAGTTAAGTTACTTTACATAAGCCTCATACTGAGAACACTTTGTTCTTTAAAAGATCGCTGAGTTATTTGTGTTAACTTTTAAAAGTCAAAAAAAAAAAAAACTATATGGTGCAGGGGAATGACCTAATAGGTCTTAGGACTGGCACTTTGGGGAAAGATGGGAGGTGACATTCATTTTACCCAGTTCACACCAAAGAAATGTTTCAGACCAGGGTGGTTCTGGTCCAGCACACTGTGTCTCTCTGTGCATCTCAGCAGCTTTCCCCAGAAGGTCCTTACCAGGGTGTACTTTGACTTCTGCTGGCTTCTTATGTGGGCAGATGCTTATGGCTGTCGCAAGGCCCATCCTGTTTGTGTACCAGTGCATACTACTTGTGTGGCTTGGAGATTGACTCTAGAAATATAGGCTTATCTTTCTAAAGCCTGAACACTTGAGTCTTCCTATAAAAAGTAACATTAGGATAGCAGGTTCATTTCTGTCACACAAATGCAACCTCAGATCCAAATCTGATGATTTCACGTTAAGGAATGATCGTGGTCCTCCTGCTCTAGGGAAGACCTCCCTGCATCAGTTTTCTGTAGCACCTCGCGAATGTCCCAACTCTAAGAAAGACAGAGACGTCCCACCATCTCCTGTGTTCAGAACCCTTCTGCATGACTGCTCAGGTGCTAAGTATACAGACCTTCACCTAGTGTCAGTGGCCCACAGTAAAATGTGTAGCTTGAGTTCAGGATGGTCTTATGAAGTTCATCTCCAAAACAAGGAGTGTTCCTCAGGGTAAAGGCCTGATTTGGAGCTACAGATTCAAAATAATTGCTGAGACTCTAAAGGAGTTCAGCTGCCACAGCGACTGAATGCCCTTCACTGGATTGACACCGAGTTTTCCACAGGATGGCTTTCGTGACGACCTGGAGGAATTCTTTGGCTATTTCTGTGCATAGCTGCTTCATCTACTATCCTCTGGTGACAGCTGTCAAGGCACGTCACCAACAAAAGGACAGCTTTAGCAGAACAATAGCGACTTAAAAAGAAGATTCTACCCTCCCCCCCAGCTGCCATAAATGACTTTGGTTATGCATTTGTTTTAGGCTTTACACTTCTTTCTCATCAAAAGGTCAAATAGAGTTTTAATTAACATTTAGTTACTTCCTGTTGATGCTATTGATTTAGCAAATAATAGTAAAGTCTCCCATGATGCTTTGCGAGCCTGAGATAAAAGGAAATACTAGATCATTGAGACCTGTGGATTAGGGTCAGGCTTTCTCTCTCTCTCTCTCTCTCTCTCTCTCTCTCTCTGGAACCACCTCGCTGTTCCTGTTACAGAGTTGGTAACTGATAAGGCCAAGGAGACAGGAATATGCATTCAGAGCAAGTGAAGGAAAGGGCCAGTGGCTTCTCTGTGGACGAAGGCTGCTGGGCTAGACAAGGGATAGGAGGGCTGTTGAGGCACAGCTAGGTGATCATGGATGAAAGGAAGTGAAAAGATGATAAGCCTCGTGGCTATTGTGACTTTATGTCACCTATGGACTCAGGAGAGAACATATTTATTGTCACTCACAACCCAAGGGTTCAGGCTGTCAGGGTAGGGAAGTCAAGGCAGTCGGATTTGAAACAGCTGGTCACATGGCAGCCTCAGTGAGGAGCAGAGAACAGTGCCTGCCAGTTCCCAGCTCGCTTTCCCCATTGACAGTCCAGGATATCCTGCCAGGGGACCGCCCCACTCTCATCAGTTATTATATCAAGGTAGTCTCCCACAGCGTGCCCAGAGGCCCTCTCCCAGGTGGATATAAATCCTGTCATGTTGACATTTAACAGTAACCACCACAGACACAGAACAAATCACACACAACTTTCAGAGACAGTGAAAGACCCTCTCATGAGAATATGGCAGCTACTGGCTGCTCTGCCGGAGGACCCAGGTTCTATTCCCAGCAACCACATGGTAGTTCTCAACCATATGTAACTCCAGTTCCGAGGGATCACATGCCTTCTCCTGGCTTCCTCGGGTATTGTATACACATGGCACACATATATGAGGTAAAAGAACCATACACATAAAAATGAAAATAAATAATGTTAAAAGAGAATATGATAGAGTGTTATAAAGCAGGATGCTCAACAGTTATTCTCCCCTAGCTTCCCGGCACCTGCCACTCACATCCATGCACACAGTTTCGCATTCACACAAACATTAAGTAAATAAATAGCTAATGTCACTGAGATCTGCTTCCTAGAGCCTTGCTCTGCAGCATCAACATTGCCTGGGAATTTCTGTAGGAATGTAGTATCTCAGACTTCCTCTGCAGTGTGTGTGTGTGTGTGTGTGTGTGTGTGTGTGTATGTGTGTGTGTGTGTGTGTGTGTCTGCCTGCTTCCTCCCATGTCTCAATCTCTCTCCCCCTCTCCTGCCTTCCATACCGTGATTTCTAAGTAGTGTTAGGTCATAATGAAGAACTAGCATTTTCTCTGAGAGTAGAGACCATCTTGGTATCAGATTCAATTAAGTCAATTAAAATTGGTACTTTAAAAAATATTTGATGTAAAGAAAGCTCTTTCATCTTGATTCCAGTTTCAGCTAATTCTAGTGATCACATGGAGAAGCGGCTGTGGATGTCACCTGGCCCTGTGATGGTTTTACCATTAGTTGCCAGAAAATTGCTCCCAGCTAAAGGCCCAGCTTCTTCTCTGTCAACTACAAATGGTGTTCTCTGCATCTGGGTGTGCGATACAATAATTGTACAAACACTTGTGCAACTTAACCTCTTCTAAAATCTCTAAACCTTTTATTAAAATGTCATTTATAGTTTGAAAGTCTAACTTGCAATACAGACAAAACTTTACTGAATTCTTGGTGGCATTCTATGTTTTTGCTGGTACTAAATCTTAATCGTAGATGCACTGATATTTTGTAGAATATTTACAATATTTAAAATGCAGTAATGAAGAGGTAACTTCTGTTTTCTCTTTTAGAGAAAATCTCTACTGGCTTTAGAGAAGGAAGAAGAGGAGGAGAGGAGCAAAACCATCGAGAGTCTAAAGACGGCACTGAGGACAAAGCCCATGAGGTGCTCTTCTGGGGCAGCGCGACCACCCTCTCTTTGCCTGCCTTTCTTCTCCTTGCTTGCCCTTCCTCTCCTTCCTTGTCCTTCCCCATCCTCCCTGTCCTTCCTTGTCCTCCCTGTCCTTCCCCATCTTTCCTCTCCTTCTCCGTTCTCCTCCGCCCTCCCTCTCCTTCTCCGTCCTCCCTCTCTTTCTCTCTCTCCTTCCTGTTTGCTGCAATGCTCAAACCATCCAGGGACTCTTACCTTAAAAACTTGTAACTGAACCCTGAGTAGCTACTTTGATCTCTGAGCATTTAGTGAGTGCTTTCCAAGTTTTAAAGGAGAGGCAGACAATGACTAAGATAGACAACATTTTTAAAGGAAGAGAAAAGGAGGAAGGAGAGAGAAAGAGAGAGAATGCTGGAGCACAAGGATGCCAGACCATTTTTCATTGCTCTTAGGAATGTCAGTGAGCCATCTGGAAATGTAGCAGGGCAACTAGTTCCTCACAGTGTGAAACATAATGTCACCATAAGACCCAAAAGCTGTCCTCCTAGGTATATAGACAAGGGGAATAAAAATCTACTCGCAAACACTTGTGTACAAGTGTTCATTATCAGCGTTATCCCGGATAGTTTTGTTGTCATTGTTATTTTAAGTAGAAAAAAAACCTCATCCAACTGGCAAATGGAGAACTAAAATGTAGACTATTGTTTGACCATATTTATGTTCTTTAAATCAATTAATTTTATGGCATGTGAATTACATATAAGTAAAACTATTATTAAAAATAAAGATGGGTTGACTTTCTGGCAAGGAATGAGTTCTCCTGTAAGCATTTCCACTCTGTCCCTCTTCCACCATCACCTTCCGCTAAGGCCTCCCTCCAGAAGTTGGTGAGGTGCTGAGGTCCTTACAGTGCATCTCATTAGCACCAGTGCCATGCGTGAAGGGTGATGTGGTTGGTGGGATGGCTAAAATAACAATAGTAACAATTATCTTTATTTAGTAATAAAATACAAACTTAGAAAAAAGTATTGACGCATAAAAAGCACTGTGCAAATGTTTGACAGGGGTCGTCAGACCGTGGGGACAAACTACTCGCTTCTCGGTTGGTTGTGAACTCTGAGCTGAGGTATCGGAGGTCCCAGGGTAGTCAGATAAATAAGTTGTTCTCTCTGGGCCGGTCAGCTTTCATATGCACACACACATTGTGAATTATTGTCCTTAACAGCAAAGGTTATAAAATTAATTCACAGCAATAAGCCTACGCTCTTATCTGTTTGTGTATTAGGATTCCCTATAGAGTGCTATGTAAAAGAAGGGTTTTGCTATAAACACCCTAGCAATAAACCCTGCCATTTGTCTGATAGGCTGCAGACTGAAGGATGCTGCCCTTTGACGTGTAGGGGCCATGCTCAGGGCCAGCACACACCACATAGGAACTGGATGCTGCAGTCACTCAGATCAGCAAATGACTTTTAACCTAGCACAGGACAGATATCGTAGGGATGGGACTATAGCTCAATGGCAGAGAGTTTGTTAGCATGTGTGAGGCTTTGAGGGGGTGGAGATATGTACCCTAAGTGACTGCTAGTCCTGACTTGGTGTAATGGTTTGATCTGTTGATTCTTTGTACCAGTTGAGTTAAACTTGCCCCAATTGGAGATTTTTTTCACAGTCTGACTTAGACTGACCATTGGGTCTGTGCCCTGGAAGAGGCACAGACTTACAAAGACCTCATGAATGTAAGCCATTGCGTTCTTCAGGAAGTAAGTCTACTTCCTTTCCCTGGGCTTTTCTATTAACGGTGGTTCCAAAAGCACAAAGGGGTGAATCTAATCGCTCCTCTTCCTGACAGGTTTGTAACTAGATTCATCGATTTGGATGGCCTGTCGTGTATTCTCAACTTTCTGAAGACTATGGACTATGAGACCTCTGAGTCTCGGATACATACCTCCCTCATTGGTTGTATAAAGGCACTAATGAACAACTCTCAAGGCCGGGCCCACGTCCTGGCTCATTCTGAGAGTATTAATGTAATTGCTCAGAGTCTGAGCACAGAGAACATTAAAACAAAGGTGGCCGTACTGGAAATCCTGGGCGCCGTGTGCCTGGTTCCTGGGGGTCACAAGAAAGTTCTGCAGGCTATGCTGCACTATCAGAAGTATGCCAGTGAGAGAACCCGCTTCCAGGTAGGTGCTTCCCACGGACTTTCTCATCCACCCCCCTCTTACACAAACAGTGCCTTTCCTGGCCCTGCAGGGGCTGCTTGATTATGCCTGCCAGTGCTCGCCCTTTGTCTTCAAACATTCGCTTTCTCTTAAGTTCAAGAACCCGAAAATAGACAATGCTTCCCACCGTTGGTCATTCTGGGGTCTAAGTTATATGGAACTCAAAACTGTGACCCTGGGCTGTAGTCTGTGTTGCTCATACAGAGGGCCCTGGTTCAGTTTTCAGTGCCCACATGGTGATTCACAACCATCCATAACTCCAGTTCCTCTGTGGGCACCAAACACACATATGGTGCACATGCTTATATGCAGGCAAAATACTCATACATGAAATAAAAAAATACATTTAATAAAAATCTAAACCAAAAAACCTGTGACTACATCCTGTGTATTACATAGCACACATCCTGTGTGTTACATAGCACGTATCCTGTGTATTACATAGCACACATCTTTTGAATCCACCGAATGGAGTGTTCTCTGGAAACTTTACAGGTCACTCTTCTTTATTTAGGATCAAAGTTAATAATGATAATTATATCATCATATTTTGACTTAAAAGTAAAAAAACAGGTAGAGACAAGGAAGCAAGTTTTTTGTATTTTATATACACTTACCGTGAATACATCTGGAAAAACGTTCATAACCCCAGTCCTGAGTTATGAAGGAGGCATCTGTGAGTCAGTGTAATTCTAAGTGAGATTTAAAAATTAACTCCAAGCATTACCAAAAAATTCTAAAATGAGCATAGGTGGGGTTGGTAATGTTTTAGACCCTTACTTTTTTATTTTTATAATTGACAGACGTTAATTAATGATTTGGACAAAAGCACTGGGCGTTATCGGGATGAAGTGAGTCTGAAGACTGCCATCATGTCCTTCATCAATGCAGTGCTAAGCCAAGGAGCTGGAGTGGTAAGAACTCTGCCCTGCAGTTTGACAGACAGCATTAAAGAGCGCTTTGCCACTGTGGGGACTGTATAGTTAAAAAGCTATAAATTTGTTTTGTGTGCCCCTTTTATTTTCAGGAGAGTTTGGACTTTAGACTCCATCTTCGCTATGAATTTCTGATGTTAGGAATTCAGCCTGTTATAGATAAATTAAGGGAACATGAGAATTCAACGTTAGATAGGTAAGTCATATGGTTACAGTTGAAGAGGGCCCATGCAGTGTCCACCATTGACTCAGTGGTAGGGGACGTGATGTGCCATGGGCTGCTTCCAGCCTGCCTGTCACATCAGGAGCTTACACAGCCTGCTACTAAACTTCATCAATGAGGGAAGCAGCATGGCGTCCAGAGAGCTTCCTCTGGCCCAAATCTGTCCTGCTATAGCCTTGCCTCCTATGTATTCTGCTCAAGTTATTCACTGCTTCTGAACTTTACTACTTTTAATATCTATCAAAAGTGGTAATAGTGGTGATGACAGCTGGACTCTAGTTCCATCTATCATAAGAACTGCCTGTGAGTCACTAAGTAACTTTAGTAGGCATTCTGTGAGTGCCAGTGTTCAACCACTGTTCATTTGTTACGACTTCTAGGGCATCCCCACCAGCTTGCTGATGCTTGCTGTGCAGCTGCCTCCCTCATCCACACACCCCGGCATGCTCTTCCCCTTGCCAGTCAATGGAGGTGCCTAGACCTGCTTGCCTCAGACCCTTGTACTTCGTGTTTCTTTGGCTTTGAACACCTTTCACAGATGTTCTGACCTTGTTCCCTTACTCTGCAGAGCATCCCTTCTGAACAGTTCTAGTCTCTTCTCTGTGTTTTCTCTCCCCCTAACCATTATGTGTTTGTCCTCATAAGTGCATCATCCCTGGAATGCAGAACACAGAGTAGGAGGTTAATCAAAATGCACACAAATAAATGAATGGCATGAGTATTTTCTGATCTGTAACTCAACAGCGAGTCAACTGTGTGGGAATGGGCTTGTTTTTCCATGAAGGAGTCAGCTAGTGGAATCTGGACATTTTTTAGATTTGATAAACATTTATTCATTTGATAATTGCCTACTATGTGCTATGTGCTCTAGGTTTTCCATTTTTTTTCTCTTACTATGATCTGTTTAACTCCTGTTTTGTTTTGTCTTTTCCTTAGAAGGAACATGATTAAGCAAAGGCATTCAAGTTTTGTTACCATGTTTCTTTTGTAGACAGCTCTAAAAATCAGGAAGGGCCTTTTTTAAGTTTTCTTTGCTGGGCTAAGGGTCAACCCCAGGACCTTACATGTTAATTGCCTTAATTACCTGGCAATTGCTCCCTATTGTTCTACATCCCCTGCCTTTGTTTCTGAGACCAGCCCTCACTGTGCAGCCCAGGCTTGGTTGAACTAGGGCTGCTCCTGTACCTACCCTGGAGTGATGGCGGCACACGAATACACCACCACTGTGTGTCTGGGCCTGTACTTGAACATGCTGAGTCCTTTGTGCTTGTGTTCGTGAGATGTTCCACTTTTACTGATTTTTGTTCAATTACCTTTCAGGCATTTAGACTTTTTTGAAATGCTCCGAAATGAAGATGAACTAGAATTTGCCAAAAGATTTGAACTGGTATGTATTCTTATAATTATTCTGATGTGACTCATCAGATCATAGGGTTTGCCTCTTGAAATGTATGCTCTGTGTTGGTTTGGACCAGTGCAGCTTGCAAGCAGAGTCAAAGCCCTGTTGTTGCTACCTAAGGAGCAGGAACCACTTGTATCTGCATGGCGTGCACTCCTCCTGTGTCAGGGGAATTAAGAAATTGATGTCTAATTCAGATTTGTTTTTCCTATAAACTAGGTTCACATAGACACAAAAAGTGCAACTCAGATGTTTGAGCTGACCAGGAAGCGGCTGACTCACAGCGAAGCCTACCCTCACTTCATGTCCATCCTGCACCATTGCCTCCAGATGCCTTGTGAGTGCAGGGACTGTGGGCGCCATGGAGTGAGGGCATCATCAAAGGGCTCTGTCTTGTCCACAGCACTAACTAGATTGGGTGCATACCAGGGACCTTAGGCCTCAGCTTTGTAGCTTCCCAGTGTTTGTTTCCTCACAGATCAGAGGCAGTTATGAAATCCTCAAAATGACCTATAATTTACTTTGATTTCAAAATAAATGGATGCCTCGCAACAATGTAGAAGGGGAGTATGGGGAGTGCCTCTCGATTAAACCTGGGCTCCAAGGTGCCCACTACTGAAAACTGCTCACCCTGATTTACAAACAGCTTGAAGGTGGTCTCTGTCCCTCTTTTCTGTTCTAGACAAGAGGAGTGGTAACACAGTTCAGTACTGGCTGCTGCTAGACAGAATCATACAGCAAATAGTTATCCAGAATGACAAAGGACAGGACCCCGACTCCACACCTTTGGAAAACTTTAACATTAAGAACGTCGTCAGAATGTAAGTCTCTTCTCATCTTGGTGTCTGTGAGATCATAATGGCAATGCAAGATACTCACTTTGTCCTGCATCAGAATGACAGCTGAGACATATGGGATGTCCTGGGGTCCAAATGGGTTACAAATAAGCACATGAAATATGGCTAAATTACGCCTGGACTTTGCTGAGGATTCTATGCAGTACACTGTTTGTGTGCCCAAGGAGAACACGTTTGGCAATAGACATGTTTTATTCTTTATAACGAGTATCCCTTTAACTATTTACAGGTTGGTTAATGAAAATGAAGTTAAGCAATGGAAAGAACAGGCAGAGAAAATGAGAAAAGGTAAATGGCAAGGCCCTGGAAGGTGTGGCTCTGTTTAGGTGACCTGGGCTTCGGGAGTTTGCATCACAGCTGCATGTTCACTTTCTTTTTTCACACCTTAGGGTATTTTGTATCGACTTTTTCAAACCCAACCATTTAGTTTTCTTGCTGTTTCCCAGGTACTTCATCCTTTTATTATCCCGTAAATATTTTAGAAAAGATTGTAGCATTTGCTGTTCCAGATTCATTAGTTGAAAACAAAGAAATAGAGTGTGGGAATTTTTATTATTGTCATTTTTATAAGGGCCCCTACAGTGACTCAGCAGGTAAAGGTACTTGCCACCAAGCCTGGCAGCTTGAGTTTGATTCCTGGGACCCACATAGTAGAAGGAAAGCACACACACACACACACACACACACACACACGCGCACGCACGCACGCACAAAAGTATAATAAATAAAATTAAGTTTTTAAAAAGAATTCATTAGTTCAAGATTCTTTAAAAGCTACTTAGCATGCAAGTCCCCACCCCACAGCTGCACTTCACTTGAAGTATTTTGAGTCTGAATAAATACAACAAGAAGCCTGGGATTTCTTCAGACTCAGCACAAAAGTCCAGGCAACTTGGTATTGGCAGTTCTGTTCTCTCCATGGCTCTAAGGTGACCAGTCCTAGAAAGAGACATCATGCGGAAAATCAATAGCCATGGTGGAAATATGTGGTGGACGTTAGCAGGCCAGCCACTCATTGTATTGGAATATGCCTTTGCTGTTATCCCTCAGTCTCTGACGGGCGACACACTGTATTCCTCCTGGTGCCAGCCCCTTGCAGAAGCATGCAGCTTCCTCCTCCTTCAGAATCTTAGCAAATTAAGATCAGCTTAGGGAAAGCAGTCACCCTCCCCCATTCCTCACCGTACTGGATGATGGATTCTTCTTCCCGTCAGAGTCATCATCACAGCCAGGGGCATACAGCCACATTCACCAGCATAGGTGTTCGGAACCAGGTGTCAACCGCATTTCCTCAGAGTCACCAGGGGAGTGGAAAGACAAACGCAAGGGTCGCTCTGCCCCCTGTGCACTGTTTGCCCACATTGCTCTCAGATGATCTTTATAATATATCCCAGAATCCACTGTGGATGGAGAGAAAAGAAGCACTGACTAAGACTAAGATAAAAAGAGATTAAGTTAAAGACAGCACAATCTGCCTTCTAGTGAGCTTCAGCTGCCAACCTGACACAGCCCAGCATTATCTGAGGCAGACTCCCTTTGGGGGTTGACTCCATCAGACTGGCCTGTGGGCATGTCTTTGAGGCGATTTTGTGATGAAAATTGATATGGGCAGGCCCAGCCCACTGTGGGTGGTGCCATCCCTAGGCAGGTAGGCCTGAGCTGTATAAGAAAGGTGAGAGTGAGCCTGAGAGCAAGCCAGCAAGCAGTGTTTTGTGGTTTACACTTCAAGCTCGCTCATTGATTGCGACCTGGAATATAACATAGAATGTACCCTTTCCCCCATAGGATACTTTTGGGCATGTTCTTTACCCCAGCTTCCAAAAGCAGATGGAAGCAGTCAGTGAGTAGATGATTAAGAATGCACTCTAGAGTGTGTAGGTTTATGGGACATGAGCTTTCAACTTGTCAAGCCATGCATTTAGGGGACACCTGAGCATCTCTGGTGTTTTGGACTGTGCTGGCTTCTCAGTGGGAGTCTGAACTTCAGCCTCCTACCTGTGAGCAGTGACGTCTCCTCTCTTCCCCTCTGGTGATCCCCTCTTCCACAGCATGGGCAGTTGCACCTTACTCACGGGTTGCTGTGAAGATTAAATTGAAAAGAAACAGAAAGTTAGCATAGTGTCGGGCACATATTAATTACATAGCAAATGATAGAAGCCATTACAGGTTGGGTGGTAGGGTGCCATGGGAGAAAATATTCAAGGTTGATGGGAAGAGTGGCGTGATGAGTGAAGTCACCATACAACAGAAGAGAAGAGAAATTATAGATAACGTAAGTTCTCTTCTGGAAGCTTCAGCTGGCAAAGTTAGATCGAATCTTAGACAATCTCAAAGGTGGAGATAGGAAGTTGGTTGGACCTAAAAGTGGAAGAATATTTGAGGGAGAAGTCTGTGGAGCACAGGACTCTGGGAAGATGTCAGCAAATACTCAGTGAATGATAGTAAGTGATGTCTGTTTGGGAGACAGTTTTCAGCCTGGCGATTCCCAGACTTTCCTCGCCTCAGGACTGTCAAGGAGCCCATTCTGACCTATGCCCTGCCCCCACCTGCTGTATAGACTGCTTGCCAAGGGCTTTGGACAGTGATCTTGAGATGTTAGGACCTCTCACTGAATCTGAGGCTTAGCCAGATTTGTCAAAAGAGGGAAGGAACGTTCCTAATCTTCCCGGTGATGAATGAAATGGAGATAGAAGAGGGGAAGTGGAGCACATGGGTTATTCTAGGTGTGGACTGGAAGTCGGGTGTCAGGGGAGTGGTGATTGTGATTCAAGGTTTGTCTTTTATTTGGAAGCTGACAAAATGCAAGGATTTTAATGGCTCACACCTTCCTGCAAGTTTCAATTTGGGAAGCCATAGAGGAGGGAGGGTCTGAAAGAGACAGTAAGGGTTTGAATGTGTTATCAAGTTCAGAAGTGGAGACCAGCTGTGCACAGCGCAGTCCCAGTGGGCTATATCCCCAGTGCATGAGTTGATATAAAAAGAGGCATTGAGGGCAAGTATTTCAAATAAAAATCTGCAGCCTAAACATCATTTCTCTTGAAGCCCATCACTCCTGCCAACAGGCTTATATTCACTGGCAAGATGAACATCATTACACTGAATTAAATGCCTCTGTTCCATGACACCACACTGGGGAAGTCAGCAATCATAACCAAGAGCTGCTCTATGTCCTCTCAGCCCTGTGGCCCCCGTACCTAAACAACACTGCCACCCTTAAGATACCGAATACAGAGACAGTAACATTGGCTTCGACTAGTTTTGGTAAATGGTTGCCAGAAACATCAGCCTTCTAACGGGGAAGGGAGACATCACTAAGCTTCAGAGTGCACACCAGGTCTCCCCCAGCTGTCTGCAAGCACAGGATCTTTCTCCTGCTAGTGGGACACAAGCTGACCAAGTTCACTCACCAGTGCTGGGCTTCTCCCTGACCCATTTCTAATTTGTGAGAATAGTCAGTTCCCCTAGCGTAGCTATGAGACCACCTCTGTGTCGGGACTCAGAATTAAGATACCATTCTCCATGAGAAGTTGCTCACACTCTTTTTTCCTTCATTTTTAGAACCATGACTTTAGAACCTCTTCTTTAGTCTTTACCAAAATGTCCGTTACTAAATTCGTTGTACGAGGCCTTTTCCCAGCATGAGCACTGTTTCTCTCTTGAGTTGCCCTTTCCCGAGGAAGAACATTGATGCCTAGGACAGACTGACCCACAATCCCTTCATCATCCTCATGTCCTGTGTTCTTGTATAGAGCACAATGAGCTGCAACAGAAGCTGGAGAAGAAAGAGAGAGAATGTGACGCGAAGACCCAAGAGAAGGAAGAAATGATGCAGACCTTGAATAAGATGAAAGAGAAGCTTGAGAAGGAGACGACCGAGCACAAGCAAGTCAAGCAGCAGGTGGCGGATCTCACCGCGCAGCTCCACGAGCTCAACAGGGTGAGCGACGGCTGAGGCCTGGTCTCCTGTCTACAGGGAACCCCCTTTTCTCCTGGGGGGTCTCTGCTGCCCTGAAGTAGAATGTAGGGAAGAGCTCTGTAATGTTTCGCAGTTGATCTCAGTAGTGGACTCGAACCACCAACATCCTGTGGCTTAGGCAGCAGAGGTGGTTTGGGGTTGAGTTTTGACCACCAATCCTGTCCTAAGAACAAAGGAAATCACATTAGCTTCTTAGAAAAGGGCTGCCATAAAAACCAGACAGTAGGAGAGAGAGAGAGAGAGAGAGAGAGAGAGAGAGAGAGAGAGAGAGAGGCGTACTCCATAAATAAGCACTTATGTGTCAAAAGGCATGAGGGCCCAGGAAAGCCCATGTGACATATCCACCCTTGAAACCCACATTCTGAGAAATGCGGGTGCTCTGTTACATGTTTCTTAGATGAGATTAGATTCTTAAAGTCATTCGCTAGATTTTCTTCTCTCATTGATTCTTCTTGATCTTCTCTTTCCAGAGAGCTGTCTGTGCTTCAGTCCCAGGAGGACCCTCACCTGGAGCCCCAGGGGGACCCTTTCCTTCCTCTGGCCTGGGATCTCTTCTCCCTCCCCCACCACCCCCACTCCTTCCTGGTGGAGCACTTCCTCCCCCACCACCTCCCCTCCCTCCTGGGGGTCCTCCCCCTCCCCCAGGGCCACCTCCCTTAGGGGGAATCCTGCCACCTCCTGGTGCTCCTATAAGCCTGACACTCAAGAAGAAAAACATTCCCCAGCCCACCAATGCGCTGAAGTCCTTCAACTGGTCAAAGCTGCCTGAGGTAAAGCCATTTGTTCGCATTTCCCATTAATGGGTCAGTGGATGGCCCCTGCAACTCATTGTCCTCACAGAGTGGGAATGTCCCTGCTGCTGGATAGCCTGACCATCTCGTATTCTCCCCAACTCCTGGGCTTGTCAGTAATGTCTCTGAAATAGTTACAAATGGTTTCAAACCAGCTCACTGAAGCATCCTGTAGAATTAAAAATTTGGAATAGTAGTACTTAAAAAAACAACAACAACAACTGTTTTTCTGTATGACTGCCAGTCATAGACCTTGTTAACTTGATGTTTCTAGAACAAATTGGAAGGAACAGTATGGACCGAAATCGATGATACCAAAGTCTTCAAAATTCTAGACCTTGAAGACCTAGAAAGAACTTTCTCTGCCTACCAAAGACAGCAGGTAACATGCCTTCCAGATGCCCCAAAGTTCTGTGTCCTTGTGCATGATCCCTGGGCTGTCTGCCGGAACCATGACACACAAGCACTTTAGTGCTCCTGTTGTTTGGTGTCCTCTGGTGTGTTCCTACAAAGCAGCATGACTGCATGTCCCTGTGTGTGTCCAGTGGCCCATCGGTGCCTGTGAACCTAGGGAAATAGTGTCATCTTGCAGTAATTGTTTCTGAAACCATTCTGGGCTGAGTTAAATATCAAATGGCTAGTCTCAGAACCAAAATGCTTTTGGTCCAGATGGACTCTTTAGCAATGTGGGGTTTTGTAAAAACTATAAGTTGGCAGCTAATAGAATCTACAGAGTCATTTTAACCAAACATCATAAACACTATAGATTCGCTATAGGGCTTCCCAAGTTGGACAAGGGTGGAAATGTCAGCGATACCGGTAGAGCCAGAAAAGCTACTACTGACACTTGCATAATGGCAGCAAGAACATGTGGTGTGGTGCCCCCTGCCTACACCCACTCATGAGGCCTAGCTTCCTTGTATGAGCCTTGGTCACATCCATATCGACTCGCTTGTTGCTCTAGAGGTGTTCCTCCAAAGGTCTAAAGTATAGTCCAAAAGTTAGGACATGGTAGCTAGATATAGAGAGTTCAAGGGAACAAAGAAAAGCTAAGGCAAAATCAATCATAGTTCTAGACCAGGGAAATCGTAGCCCGGGAGTATGGGGAAAGAGATTCTTAAGCCAGATGAAAGGACCTGTGAACAGTGCACACTGCATTCAGATGGGCAAACACACGGGCTTGGCATCTGCACAGGGGTTTCCTGAGGGCTCCCCTGGCACCCTGACTCCTGCATGAATCATGAGCAGGGTGGAGCATCCTTAAACAAGCCAAAGACTTCCTGATCGGCTCTCTTGGCTCAGACCCTCAGAAAGACTGTCTCAAAGAAGAAATGCTAGGCACCAAGGAGATGAACAGAGGCTAGAGAGAAACAAGGCTGGGATTCTTCTCAAGATGGCTCCTGGTGTATCTTCCTGGGAGGTGGGGTATTATTCACTAGAGGACTTTGCTGGAAGAGAGAGCAAGCATCTGTGCAGGGCCTTTTATGCTGGCTCAGTAGAGTAGGGAAGTAAAGTCAGTTGCCTGCCATGGTGTTAATGGAGCCTAAAGCTGAAGCCCTCAGCCAGCTCCTTCATAAGTAAGAAGCCGCCATGCTGAGTGCTGTATGCACAAGGTTAAGAGGAGGTGACGAAAAGGGAGGTAAGGGGTTGTTCAGAGGAGAAGAGTTCAAAGAACAAACAAAGGTGTGTTGAGAGCCCTTGTCCTGTAGCCACTCTGCCAATACTTGTCCCTGATTGGCTGTTGTATGTCTCTCTCTCTCTCTCTCTGATGTCCTTGGATGGAGACCCCTGCATCTTGGCATAAAATTTTAGCAAATTTTCAAATAATTCAAGTAATCCTCAGATCTGAGCACTAGTCCCATTTCTTTTTCACTTCAGGCTGTCTGAGGTGAAGGTTTGGAGACTCAGAAAAGTGGATGAGGTGGAGGGAAAGCAGCAAGTATTCCACACAGTGCAGCTCAAGTCTGAGCATGTCGGTTGCGTTTGTGAGGGAGGCAGGTGCTTGAAAGATCCGAGTTTACAAGCCTCATAATTAACTGGCTTTCAGCAGAACGTTCAGAAGGATGCTGCCAAAATGCTCTGGGACAAATATGTGAACAGTTTTCAAGAGTTCTGGGAGACACAATTGCAGAAAGCTCTGTAGCCAAGTAACTGTCTCCTAGCAACCACCACTGTTTAAGTAGTCAGTAGTCATCCCTGACAGGATGGACCAGAAGGTTTCAGCTCTTCTTAACATGGTTAGAATGGTGAAGAGGATAGGGCATCACCATTTCCAGCAACACACTGCTCCACTTGAGAATTTTAAATGTTCCCTCCTGCTATAAAAATAGAAGATAAACCATCGCTATATTTTTCAAATGAGGGTAACTTGAACCGTTTCATTGCATTTGCATTGTTGAGAGTCAGAAAATGAAAAGCTACAGGCATTTTAATTATAATATGTAGATCAGAGTAAATGAGGTTCGAATGCCTGTCACTGGACCATTCCTTCATCCCAGAACAGCAGCATCAAAGACCTGCGCATGCTCATTCCAGGCATGGCAACACTTTGTGCAATTACCACCACATTTAAACTGTTCTTATTTTTAGTACCAAATGAATACCAAGAACCCTTCTTTTTCTGTGGCATCTCTTTCCTTTATATAAAGCTATGAAACTGGTCAAATTCTGGACTTCACCTACTTGTTTATGTAGGTGAATCTTTCAGGCAGGCATAGGAACACACAAACATCAGTACCTAAGACCCTCAGAGCCTAATTTTAAGATAACTTAGCAGTGTCAAATTAGCATAACTTAAATAAGGAATAACACTTTGGGAATGTATACATACATATATGTGTGTGTGTGCATGTATATATAAACATACATCTAAATAAATATATAAATTGACTGTATTTATATACATACATACAAAATATGTCCATTTGATTTGAGAATTATTATATCATTAAAATTTAGTGTTTAGTTTGTCTCCTTTATATATGAACTGTGTCAATGGATTCAAATGCTTCAGTGCATTCAACCTTTACATAGGCTCACAATGTAATTATAGTATAAAGCCGGTCATAGGAACCAAGATGGTGGTCACTATTGAAACCTGACTATGTTTCTGGCACTGGGTATGATATAAACAGTTCTTAATCACATCAACTCTAAAATTCAGTGCTCAAGGAGCTACTGTCCTTATCTTCTTATTCAGTTCTCACCCCAGCTCTAGTAGAGACATAACACTCTTATATTACAGAAACTGAAAATAGGACCTAGTATGTAGTCAGTATCCCAACAGGTGACACTCAGGTGCATAGTGCATAGTTCTCGGTTTCCCTTTGTTCTCTAATCTGTGGTTTATTCATTACCACTACCAGACTGGGAAGAGTGGGGTTTTTTTTAAGTGCATGCATTAAAAGTGTAGAGAGCCGATTATGTAAGCTTATGCCTCCCACGAAATGGAGTTTAATAGCATGCGGCTATTCCCCTGTGCACATTCCGCAAGTTCATTTGAAAGTCAATTCCTTGCATCTCAAGACCGTTTCCTCATTGGAACTACATTAAACATGATCTCCAGGTCAGCCACAAGAGACTAGGTTTTAATACATGACATTGGATGCTGTATAACAGTTTTATTAAGATACAGTTCAATGTCCTCACATCTGTAAAGGGAAATTTTCATCCTGACATGCTATCAATTCATATCTGTGCAGTTGTATAGAGGGAAAATGAGCTAAAGATACTGCATTTGCCTAAAAGAAGTACTGCTCTTTAGCACCCACTGGCAGCTCACAGTGTCTCCCCCCTCCTTGCCCTTGCCTGAGGACAGCTCTTCTTTTAGGGGCCTATGTTCACCACATAGTATAGCATTTCAAAGCCACCATCCTTTGATTTAGGGAACAAAGGAAAGCTACGGGCCCAGGCTCTGTTCTCGTTCTCCAGCTCTACTAGTGTGTTACTGTAAGTCCTTCAGGGTCTCATTTATAATCAGGTGATCTACAGAGTCCTTAGGAATGATCAAAGAACTTTTCCTTTCTATTTTTATTTTTTAAAGTTAAGTTAATCTGCATCTAATTTTCATATTGAAAAAAATGTAATTTTTTTCTTCAACAATGTCAGTTTTCTCATTTTTGCCTTGACTTTGCAGTACTGGAGATAGAATCTAGGGCTTCATGCATACAGATCAAGCAAGTGCTCTACCACTGAGCTGTAGCTCCAACTCCCAGTCATCACAATCCTTAGAACTTAAAGACAAGAAAGTCTGTGACTAGTGTTACTGGGTTTTTTTGTTTTTTGGTTTTTTTTTTTTTAATTGTAGTGCTGGAGAGATGGTGCAACAGGTAAAGTAACTTCCTACCAAGCCTAATGACCTGAGTTCAAACCCTGAGACCCATACGGTAGGAGGGAGAGCAGACTTCCTCAGTTATCTTCTTTCTCTGTGCACATGCTAGGGCATGGGTGTGCCCACGCACACCCGCACATGTGTGCCCACGCACACCCACACATACGTACACATACACAATAATAAAGAAACAATGTTTAAGTGTAGTTTGAGAGTCTATACCTATTTCATGGTGAGAATTATCAAGTACAAGATTGTATGTAAATATTAGCATAGCTTTCAACTTGAAAGGATTAAGACCCATTCATGTAAGGGTCATTATCTATGCAGGGCTGAGCCATCATTTCTTTGTGAAGCCATTTATAGTAGTTTACAAGCACTGGTCTCTGAAAGTGCAAATAGAAACTTCCTACTTATATTTCAAGATCATTTATATTACCCTTTGATTTCTGAGGGAGCAAGGTTTTAAACAGAATCTTGACATTCTTGAAGTGAACCTGGGAGTATCATTATTTCCAGTGTGCTGCGCCCAGTAAAACCCATCCTGTTTGTGATTTTATTTGGTAATATGCCGATTGCTGGGTCTTCAAAGAAGTGTTGTCTTCAGGCTAACAGTTACCAAGCCCTCATATGGTGTTCCTCAGCCTCTCTGGAAAGATGAGAAGCATCGCTTAGCTATTTAGCTGCCTTGCTTATTGTTGCTCACGGTTACAAATGGAAGCTCCTGACCAGCTAGCCTACCACTCCGCCAGAAGAGCCGACTGGGGAAGTGACTTGTCTGTTCTAAAGCTAACATAATTGTGCCTTATGTTTGCTTCTAGATTTGGGGCTCATAGAGATGTGTCAGGTACTGCATAGGAAATTTAACTTCGTTATCACTTTTACCATCACGATAGTAATAGACGGGTAGACCAGTTCTGCCCAGAGCATAAACTCAGTAAATGACTCCATAGATTGTCGGACCAGAGGTCAGATGTCATTTCCCAACAGTGTGAATGAATTTAACGTATAACATGAGTTGCCAGAAGCTTCATAAAATTTTCTTTCTTGCAGAATAGACAATAAGAGCAGTATCTAATCAAAAGTAGTACTTTTCCCTTTGGTTAAGTTGACTTTATAGAGTTCATTTTACCATAGCCTTCTGCCCCTAAAACTGCTTTTACTGGAAGAATCCTAAAGAGCTTCAAAGTAGAACATCTGAATCATAACAAGGGCAAAAGAGAACTGGGATATCAGGCAGAAGAAAAGGTTCTTGTGGTTATCAGCTTACTTTTAAAATGCCTTTCCAGAGAGGTAGTCCTGCTAGTGTGGGCAGACCAAGGGGAGCACGCCTTCTGCTTCCCACTAGAAGAATTAAGCGAAACAGTTCATCTGTATAAAATCAACCTTGGCAGTGCTGCTGAGACCAGGGAGACCTTAAGGAATCTGCTGAGCAAATGCTAGTGCACACACAGTTGGCCTGAAAGCTGCGACGTGTTGCACACCGAAGCTTTGCTCATTCCTGCCCTGTAAAAGCATGGAAGAAAAGCTGCTGCTTTCTTGTAACATACCATTAGCTTCCTTCCCATCGCCACTCTAAGACTTCTCTAAAACTCCTTCAAGAGGAAGCTGTTGGCCTTGTGTGCTTGACCAACCCAGAGACCACTGAGTCACGCCTACCAATAGCTGCACTAGCGGCTAGCTTCTCAATGGTATGCGCTGGGCTTTTCCCCATGCCTGCCACAGCACCTGCTGCCATGGTCTGAACCCTCTAGGGTACTCAAGTTGGTCTTACTTAGGTTGCTCCACTTGCTTTTCTCAACTCTCCCTTATGATACAAGAAGACGGGTCAGTTCCACCAAAAGGAAAACACATTTTCTATAGCAGTAGCAACTGTCGATCATGCTGATTGACAATCTTCTGCTTCAAGTAAAACTTCAGCGTGGTGACTGAGACCTTGGTGGATGTTTTAAAGAGGACTTGTTGTATTCCTGAGTTGTCCTTCTAAGCCCTTTTCTTTTCTGAATTTGATTTGCTGCCACTTGAAATGGTATATAGCAAATGCCATCTGTTGTGTTTCTTTACACAATGCCTTGTGCTGGGATCTTCCCCCATATCTTCAGTCTGACTGGCTCACTTGTGTTTGTGACTGCAAGGCAGGAAATGTCTCCTTGCTCTCTTAGCCTGCACCACCAATTCCTTGACTGCCCTGACTTTCCGTGTTTGCCGCTGTTGTTTCTGAACTGCATGTATCTGATTTGCTTTTCTATGCCTCTGCCATGGCTGTAGGAGTTCTTTGTGAACAGTAACTCCAAGCAGGTGAGTAAGCTACTGTCTAACCCTTACTTAACATAACTCCTTGGCTCTCTGTAAGCTTGAAATCCCCTGGTTATCTTGTTAGATAGTGTAATTCAATACCTGGGTAATACATCTTTGGGATTTGACCCCTACTGGACTGTCTAGAAGTATGCCTGAAATCTGAGCACAAGAGACCTTTGCTGTTTAGCCCCATGGTGCTCCATTATTTGTCCAAACTGCCTTTGCTTCCTAAACTGTTACACAGTTCAAAAGCTTTCTGGTTTCTTTATATTTTTAAATGTCATAATGCATTTTTAAAAAGTCCCTAAATAGTAATGAAATAAGTTGGCTACTTACCAAGTTAGTCTATATTTTCACCTTGAACTTTGCATTAATATGATACATTCACATTTGTTTTGCATTGTTTTATACCTGTTTCACTTAGTTATGTCTGGCCATCATGAATGAATATGCAAATAAAATATGCAAGTAGTGTTTGATTGTTAATTCAAGTAACTGAACAAGAAGCCCCCTCTTCATTGCTTCTGTCAGGGTTGGAAATTGCAAGGTGTGTTTGGCCTTTGGAAACTTCTGTTACACATGAAGGTGTTTAAGAGTTTTATTGCTCAGCTTTCTTGGCTGCTAAGGATAGCAAATGGTTCTGGAGTGAGTGGGCCCCACAAATGACTGGACCAGAAATAACAAGACTCTGCTGAGCTTTATTCATGGTGACAGTTCTCTTGTCTGCTGTCCATAGAGATTTGAGGAACAAAAGGACAGCATCCCTCACTGATAATTTATGCACGTTTAACAACTTCAACTTGGAAGCATTTTGTTCTTCTCAATAACGCTTTTTCAAATGCGGGTGGCAGCTTTTCTTATTTCCCTTGTTGAGTAGAGAGTGGCCTTTGTTTCGGTTGCACCACTTCCCAGCGCTGCCTCATCAGCTCAGCTCAACCCATGTGTGTATGTGCGCATTGTGTGCGGGAACAGAAGTGGAGAAGAAAAGTATGCGTCTCAAGCCTGAGTGTCCCCTTTGACGCTGATGGATTTCTCTCATGTTCTTTCCAGAAAGAAACAGATGCCATTGATGACACACTGAGTTCCAAATTTAAAGTCAAAGAACTGTCAGTGATTGATGGTCGGAGAGCTCAGAATTGCAACATCCTTCTGTCGAGGTACTGTTGGTGCTGAATAAACATTACTGGTAGGACCAGCTTTTCTCCTCGCTCAGACCCACGCGTTTGTGGTTGCGCCTTATTCGCTTGTACTGAGGTACAGGTCATCAAAGCCCACTGTTGAAGGGGGTGACACTTCTTGGTGTCACTTTTCCTGGTGAGGTCTCTCAGGCTGGATGCCAACCTTGGTGTTTCCTTTCCAGAAGCCTTAGAAGTGAACTGACATGCATTGATATTTCCTAATTGTGCAGACAGTTTAGTCCTCAGGTCGCACCATCGCAGAGTCAGGAGCTGTGTTGATGCTTTCCTGTTTTGCTCTGTAACGTCACCTTTTTATATTTTAACATTACTTGAGTTCATTATCTTTTTGAGTGTTTTTGTTTTATAAAGATATGTAAATCTCAAATCTCAGCGAGATATTAACTTAGACAATTCAGGCTTGTTCAGAAATCTTTCTTATAACATAAATTTTAAGACCTTAAAGCTTGAAATGAAAAAAGGAAATTGGAGGCCTTAATTATGATTGCAACTTCCGGCAATGTTTTTAGGTCATTCCGTATTGTGAGTAGCTTTTTAGGCAAAGTAGCTGTTGTTAGGCAAAGATAACCAATGCTATTGAGGTGCGGGAAGGTGTGAAGGATGCTGATGGTGGGAGCTAAAAGGACGAGCTGCAGAGTAAGAAAAATGTTATGTGTGCATTGAGGCTGGTGTTGGGTGACTCTCTTGGAGGGCGCTAAGATAAGAGCCGTCCTGTTACTTAACGGGCCATACACTGAGGCTTTGAACACAGAGAGCCGCGGCTTGGGCTCAGCATAGAAGCCTGATTGTTGGCCAGGTATCTATTACTTCAAGGAGCAAATGTTTCCTTTAGTGGAAGAGAAATTGAGCCTTCATGAGATCCCTGAATTTTAATGCAACTTGTAAGGTAACTTGAGCCACCCCGTTAGCATTTCATCTCTGCTCTGGCTGGAAGCTATAGAAATGGCTGGGCTTTGTGTTTATCCTCACTTGGGCTCCATGAACCATGCTTAAGTTAGATGAAGTATCTTCTTTAAGACAGCACTACTACAAGGGCTGCTTACTTTCTTCCATAGTGCATATAATTTATTTTGTTACCATTTCCCAACTATCATTCCTGATTGGAAAATTAAGTGAAGAGTTGGGAAAAGGGTTTTGTTGTTGTTGTTGTTGTTGTTAAGATTTATTTTATGTGTTTCAATGTTTTCCCTGCATACATGTCTGTGCGCCATATGCAGGCCTGGTGCCCATGGAGGTCAGAAAAGGGTGTCAGATCCTCTTAAACTGGGATTGAGTGGCTGTGAGCCACCATGCGGGTGCTGAGAAGTAAACATGGGTCCTCTGGAAGAGCAGCCAGTGCTCTTAACTGCTGAGCCATCTCTCCAGCCCCAAGTTGTTGTTGTTGTTTTGTTTTGTTTTGATCTGAATATCTCTACCTATACCTTGTGTGTTGCTGTCTGGAGCACTTTCAACACAGCTTGACAAAGAGACATCACTCTGTATCTCGACAGTGTTGAAATGCTTGGAGAGTATGAGCTGAGACCCCATTCCTCATAGACAATGTATTCCCCATGCTTAGTGCCCGCCAAGATAATTACCCTAGCTATAGATAAGGTTACAATTCTCTCTGGCTTATTTCCCATTCCATTATTAAAGGAATTATATTGTGTGGTATATAAATCCCTGCACCTCAAACATCACAGAGCCTAAGGTAAAAGTAACGTAGAACTTGTGTGTGTATAATGTCCCCTTCCCCGCAAGACAGTTTGCCGAGAGCCTACTTAGATTACTTATGGAAATTTCTTAATATATTTTTATTATGAGCACAACAAAATGGTGTGATGAGGACAACAACATAATTTTGAGACCAGTAAGTGATTTCATATTAACTAGGTTAGAGCCCTGTCTCCTGCAGGGATGTCTAAGAGCAATGAAAGGGCCACCACCACACATTTGATAATAAATGCTTCTCGTTTCTAATAATTGTTAAACCCCACAGTCTCACATGTGGCCGAGATGTTAAATTTGTTGTGGTAAAAGTAAAAGAAGTTAAACTTGTTTCATTTAATTTGTATTTTGTTTCATTTTCTACTGAGTTAGGAGATTTTATTTATTTATTACATACAGAAAGTAGTTTAGGAACTTAAGCAGTGGGCATGCCTGAGAGCCGGTCTGTACTTCTTTCTATGGCAGCCAGACTTTCAGGCATTTGCTTGCACACCTCTGTGCTGGGTGCATAGGACAGAGCAGAGCTTAAGGTGGTGTTGTGGTTTTGATATCTAATGTCCTCTAAGATCCATGCGTTGAAGAGTGGATTCCCCAGTGCACAGCTAGAGGTGGGGCTTTCAAAGCCATTGGAACCTGAGGGCTCTGAATGGTTTGCTCTATTGATGAATTCATAATTGAACTACAAGGGAGTAAAGTATGGAGAAGACCCCAGTTGGAGGAAGGAAGCCACTGGGGGTGCATCTTTGAGGGGCATGTCTGTCTCTGTCTCCTTCCTGTCTGTCTCGCTCCCTCCCAGACCTACCATGACAGAAGCCTTTGCTTAGCCGTGCCCCCCACTGTGATGTTCTGCCCATGTAGGCCCATGATGATAGGTTCAGAGGCCATGGATGACGGCATCTGAAACAGCATGTATCCCCCTCCTTTCACCACTTTTGCAACAGGTAGTTTATCCCTGCGAAGAAAGCAAACTAAATGTTGCTGCCACCTTTGAGAGCTCAAGGTGATTAGAGAAGAAAAACATTACTAGTGAGAAAACGCATAACTCAGGGCTCGCTAGTCTCAGCTGAAGGATACAGAGAGTTCAGTCATATGGGAGAGGAGCTAGAGCAGAGCTCGCCAGAGAAAGTGGGTGTGCTTCAGAGTGTGTGCACCAGAGGTGCAGGGGAGTAAGGAAGGCAGCTCTCGGCAGCCTTAGACAAGTAAGGCAAGCCCTGCGGAAAACGGAGAGCAAAGGGTTAGCATTTGTGGTCAGTGAAGCCTGGCGGGATAGCTGAGGTTCATGACCTAGGCCTTTTAGGGATATGTACCAGTTGGCCCAGAATCAAGTCATAAGCCCTGTTCTATAAAGTGGAGCTCATGGTCATTGTTCTGCAGTGGGCAAATAAGATCCAGCCTCAAGGGCCTGAAGCCCCTGTGGCCACAGCTTGACAAATAGCCAGTTATATATCATGGTGTCAGGAATGGGGTTTGGTCCCAAGGAGAGCAGTGTGTTTGTTTTAACGTGGTTTTAAGTTTGCTTGGTTTGCAGTATAAGGTGGAAGGGATCAAACGCTGGTTGCATGAGAGACATCAGAGCAGGATTCTCTTTCTGTTGTCCAGGCGAGCCATTCAGAGACCAGAATTGACAGAGATGGAGAAACTTTGATAGGAGTTAACATTTCATTTTGTGCTTAGGGACAAAAATCAGAATATTTCAAAGATTGTGTCAAGATTCCCTGCCTTTCTACACATAGCTGTGTCTTTCCTTCCTGCTTGTTTTACTCTTGAAGGCTTCCATCCATCTACACTCTTGCCAATGGGGATTTGTTTCTCAGCAATCATTATACCAATGTCTGTGGCAGTGAAGGGCTCTCGCATATTCTGTGTGCTGTATTCTCAAATATATGCCCACTTTAGATATTCTTTATGGCTTCCTTCTGAGCTGCAAAAGTTAGGTAAGGAAGCCGCTACCTCCTGGCTTAGAGCACAAAGCAGGTGACTCCTGTGTTGTATCTGCTAAGTAGGTTTTACCAAGGTCACTTGAAACTCTTAGGGGCAGAAGGAAGAGAAGCATTAAATAGAGGACAGCAGCGCCCTGCCTGTCACCTGTGTGAGAAGGGAGTGGCCATGATGTACCGCAGAAGAAGATGCCATTAAGAACTGGCCTCCTATCTCTTTATGTATTAAAATCCAATTTAAATAATTTTTAATATAATAGGCCCTCAGTAGCATCTGCAGCTTCTCTGCTGTGTGTGTATGGGTGACGTGTAGCAGCACCAGCAGCTTCCCTACTGTCTGTATGTGGGTGACATGGAGCAGTCTAAAATTCAGACTGACTACTTGAGTCACCACAACAGACCTACCCTCCCACACCAGGGGAAAGAAAGAAACTCAGAGGCAGGTCTGTATTGCAAAATGACCTCTTCCCGAGTACAGCTGTTGTTGTTTCCCAGTTCCTCTCTTGACATGGCAACCTGGGTGTCATAAACCACAGAAAGTTACTTTATTAAGTAGGAGGGTCTGGCTTAAACCCGCTGAAAAAGAGCCAAGGCTGACCTAGCCTTCCATCCCTAGCTTGTTCTAATTATCTCTGAATGGTCCAATTCTCTGAGCAAAGTTTTTAAATCCCCGAGCAGAGCAAGATGGAGTTAAATTCGATTTTAAGGTGGCTGCTTTATTCCCTGCCTTGAAGAACAGTGGAAGTCGATGTCTCAAAGAGTTGTCACCCTGACGCACACCAAGAGCACTGTCGAGCACAAAGAGCAACTACAGGGCTAGAAACCACAGGGTCCTTGAATTACAGAGATTAAAGGCTCATTCTGAGGGTGACAGATGACACCAAGGACTTCGAAGGCTGTAGAGCCACGGTGAGGGCGGGCACTCCCCACCCCTTTCTCCCGAGATAGGGTTTCTCTGTCTGATCCAGCAGGCCACGTGTACGGTGTTCTGTTAACAGGTAAATTTTCTAAGTACGGCTCATTAAAGTCTCGAGTCTCTTTGTGGGCCACATGAAGAGAAAGTTTAGTCCAGACAGCCTCTGGAAATTGAGAAGCATAAATATATACAATTTCAAAGACAGGCCCCTCCATCAGAGTAGCTAGTGAAATTGAAACCCCGTGCTTTGACTCTTGTTCTCACTCTGGGTTTCAACCCCTTTGTTTTTAAATGCAAAGCAGAAAGGCTCAAAATAATTTCTTCAACCTGGTGTGAAAAGACACAGAGCTCATTTAGTTTTCTACTATGAGCAGGAATGGGGCCACATTGGGGTCTCAGCGGGTAAAGTACTTGCTGCCAAGCCTACGAATGAACATTCAGTCTCAGGGATCCGGAAAGGTTAGCTCCCACGGCTGGCATCTGACCTCCACGCATGCGCTGTGGCACGTATGCGCACACAAGCCCAGGGATGAAGCAATGAAGTCATAAGAAGCAAGGCCCTTCTGGTGGTTTCAGCTGGCTGGTTTTTAGTGGTGGCAATTTTAGTCTCGAGTTACTGTCCCTTCCTTTGCCTTGTGTGGCCACACTATGGTACCAGAGTTTAAACTGACTCAAGAGCCTGTAATGTCCTATACCCAGGGCTACCCAGCGCCTTGACAGCGAAGAGCTGGTGCTGCTGCTGTGTTTCCCCGGTATTCTTCACGCAGACCAGCTTGCTAAATTGTTCCACTTCCCTGGTGTGGATTGTCTATCGTGTTATTCTGGTGAACATGCTCTTGAGGTAGTGACTGTCCCAGAATGGTCTGAAACAGACTGAAGGATTTTGCCAGGGCCAGCCTGCCTGTATTCAGCACGGGGTGAAGATGGCACCACAGCCAAGACTGGGGTGGGGGGTTAAGATGGATTGTATTTGTCAAATGGACAGTTTGGTAGTTTTGCCTAGATGATGTATTTTGATTTGAGAACATGAGATGGAAGACAGTGCTGTTTGAACAGTAGCATCCCAAATTTGTTCTCTCTCTACTGCTCATTGCTGTGTGCAGCAAATGTAGCTGGCGTGGCAGAGCAGGTAGTTTTAATTAGGACAGGGTCTTTATCCTTCTCCTGCCTTAGAGTCCTCCATCCATTCACTCAGCCTTGCTGGTTGTTTGTGAGGTGGGTGGAGTGTGTGCCTTGTGTCATAAGAGTTTTGCTGGTGATATCCCAACCCTCCCAAAAGTTATAATCACCTTGGAGATAGGAATACATATTCCGTTCTTTTTCAGTTCCCTTGGGCCTCATTCTGTCAAGGATAGGGATGAAACTTGGGTGGAATAATGTGGACACGAATTGGGAAGTGACCGTGACCACACAGGGTACTGTTTAAATGATCTACTCACAGCAGTGTGTGTTAAGGTTACAAAAAGTATCACTTTTTAGAATTTCTCCAGAATAGAGGTCTGCCTTGTAGAGTACCCTTGAGCCCCTGCTGTGTCCAGGAACTCCACCAAGAGCCCTCCGTGGATTGTTTCACTGGATACCCCACATTCTCTCACTTGTGTTAGGTTGGGGGAGAAAGACAGGTGACGATTATGTGTACAGATAGAACAGACAATTCCAGATTCTGTTGTTCCAACTGAGAGAAGCATTTTGCCCCAGTTATGACTCTTCTTATATTGAATAAAAACATTCTTTATGTTTAAGTTTCACCACGGTTATGTTTTAAAGTGAGTTGTTTCTTATCCTGACTTAAAATACAAATTCCTAATTAAATTATTATAGATCATTTGAATTTACGGGCAAACAAAAACAGAAAGCAGTTCCATGTTTCTGCATCAGCCCTTGGGTGTAAGGTACTAACTAGATGAGGCTTGTGTTGTAAAGCAGCTGTGTGATGCGGATACTGTCACTTGCATTTTTTATATGTAATGTGGAGCTAATATGGTATGTCTGACCTAGAGAGGTCAGAAGATAACTTTGTGGAGTCAGTTCTGCCTTCCATCTTTGCCCAGGTTCCAGGCATTTAGTTCATATTAGCAGGCTTGAGCTTGCTTGCTTTTTGCTGCTGAGCCATCTCTCTGGCCACTGATACCATCATTTCCTGTCTGACCCTGAACAAATCGCTGGCCATCTTGAGCCTGTTTATCTAATTAGAACAAACAAAAAACAGACTGTCGCAGCTACTTTCACAGTTAAATGAGATTAAATACATGAAAATTTCTTACCTATGAAGTGATCATGAATTTCATTTTATATATAATGCACTCAAGTCTATAAGCACGTGTATGGTTTCCAAACATATCAAAATCTATTTTTCAACTGACAGTACCCCTGGAACTCCCCTGACATGCAGTGAGGTCAGAGACTGGATTCTCTCCTCTTGCCCCCAGTTTGTGGGTGCTGGATATAAGACCATTATTCCCACTTTCGCCACCTCCAGCCTTCCCTAAGAAAACTAGCGATAGATCATGGCCGCTTGTCCCTGTGGCAGACGATTGAACGTGGCCGCTTGTCCCTGTGGCAGACGGTAGAACGTGGCTGCTTGTCCCTGTGGCAGACGATAGAACGTGGCAGCTTGTCCCCGTGTCAGCAGAACATTAAAGAGCCCTGAAAGAATGTTAAAGCTATTTCAGAATCCTTTTTTAGTTCCCTCTGTTGTCAGGAAATAAGCCTTGGCTGAGATTTTGAGAAAAACCATACTTGAAAATCAGCAGCTGGTGTAGCACAGTGAGTGTCTTATATTAAATTGTAGCAATCACAACCATGTTATTAACAGAATAAAATATGCTTTCTCCAGGTTGAAGTTATCCAATGATGAAATCAAGCGGGCAATTCTAACAATGGATGAACAGGAGGATCTGCCCAAGGACATGTTAGAACAGGTGAGCTGCCAGACAGCTTTCAGAGTCTGAATAATACTATCAGCTGCCAAGAAGATACTGAGAGAATCTGCTGTTGCTAATAGATTATTGTCTCATCTCTGAATTGAGAAGGCCAAACCTGACCCCCATGCATTGCCTTAAAGGGTCTTTATCTCTCATTGTTCCCCAGAATGATAGTTGAGAAAGGAAGTTTGCAGGTTGTAAAATGGGGATAGAGAGATAGCTCAGAGATTAAGAGCTCTTGCTGCTCTTTTAAGGACCTGAGTTCCCAGCATCTACACTGAGTGACTCAGTCACAGTCACCCGTAGCTCCAGCTGAAGGAGGTCCAGCACCCCTTTCTGGTGTCTGAAGGCTCCCATGTCACATGCCAGCCCCTACTCTATCTCACTCTCGAAAATAAAAATAAAGCAAGATTCTAAACAAGTCTGCCAAATGCTTGGGATCCACAATGTTAGAGTCTGTTCCTTAAGCTTCATTTAAATTATTGTCTTAATGTCTCATTTAAAAAAAATCTGCTGGGGTTAGTGGGAAAATGTGTTTCACCAGAGTGTTGATGATTTCATGAGTACTCCTAGATCAAAAACTACTCTGCAAACTATTAATTACTAAATTTGCATTTTGGCTCATTTTCACAAGCACAAAAGCCTCTACTAAATCCCTAGCATAGCCACCTGTTCTACACAGTCACACCTGTCCTATGCAGTCACACCTGT